TTATGTTGTCTGGATACGAAATACACCAAAGCGGCGATACTTTCGGACTCACAGCCAGCAATTAACTCAATTGGAAACAGAGAGCCACCCAAAACAGCTGAGAAAAAGGAATATAGAAACTCTATGAGCTGCTGAGGAATAAACTCAATTGGAAGCAGAGAGCCACCCAAAACAGCTAAGGCTCTATTGGAAACAGAGAGACACCCAAAACAGCTGAGGAAAGGAATGTAGAAAAGATAGCCATCCAAAACAGCTGAGATAAAGGAATGTAGAAAACTGAAACACCCAAAACAGCTGAGATAAAGGAATGTAGAAAACTCTACTCAAAACAGCTGAGATAAAGGAATGTAGAAAACTCTAGAAACAGAGAGACCCAAAACAGCTGAGATAAAGGAATGTAGAAAACTCTATACTGAGAGAGAAAATAACAAAACAGTGGTCCTACAATGAATTCCTGGTCAGTGGAGGAATTAACTCAATTGGAAACAGAGAGCCACCCAAAACAGCTGAGAAAAAGGAATATAGAAACTCTATGAGCTGCTGAGAGAGAAAAACAAAACAGTGGTTCTACGATAGTTTCCTGGTCACTGTGGCATTAAAAGCAATGCGCTTGCTGACACACTTGCTAAGAAGGGGACAACGATTTTGCAATGCATGGACCGGCCGATGTCTTTCCACACAATGAAGGCCTTAATCAGGAGAGAATTCCAGACTTCAAGGTGCAACGAACTCAAAGCTCAAACAAATGAGAAACAGTGGACAGTGGCACCCTCCGACATAGCCGACTGGCCAAGAATTGAAGTCGTTGCTGAGTTTAGACTACGTACCGGACACGATTGCTTGGCAAAGCACCTTCACAGAATGGGGGTATACACTCAACCCACATGCCCTCTATGTAACCTACAGGAGGAAATGGAGAAGACCCACCTGATTCGTTGTCCAGCCCTAAAGACAAGGAGGGAAAGCCAAAGATACTGGGAAGCAAGAAGACAGCTAATGAATTGCTATTAATTAACTGCTATAAATGTACCCCCCCCCCCTCTTGGGGGAAGCTGAAGTCAAAGATTAAGGGCTAATGATAAATATCATAAAGCCTGCCATTTGAAATAAATAAATAACATACAACGCCCTTCAATGTTAATTGTAATTACATTGATTTTCTATGAAACTATATTTTCAAAGACAGTCTTTCTGACGAGATGGACAAATGTGAGGTAAATTTAATAAACGGCTTTTTACTTTATACCTTTGATAGGTGTTAGCACCTTCAAAATCAAATTAATTAGTCTAATTAGTCTACACACATTGGCAAAATAAAATTAGTACGTTTAATAGTGTCAACCCATGAATCTTCATGATCCAACTGAGAGAACCTCTGTTTCATTTTCTTAATCAATCCATACTCAAGTCTGTTCAATTTAGGAACTTCCGGAAATTTGCCGATCATATTTCTACGGTTATTCCTTCCTGTTTGTATATTACTCACTCTCTCTATATTTTATTGGGTGGGGTGTGCGATAGACTTAGCTCCACGTGGTGCACCCTTTGCAACGTATACTCATTCGGCAAAAAAGTCTAATAACTAGCACTTGACTTCTGACGCAAAACTACCACCCCACTGTATGTCATATTCGACTACTTACACAGTACTCACCTCACCATTTTCTACCCTCGTGTCTGTCTTTTTTACATCATTGAAACACTCTTTTGTTCCTACTTCCCTCTCGAATTTTCACTTTGGTGTTCCTTCCCCTCTGTGAAGCCTGAAGTCAAGTGAAGGGCTAATGATAACTATCTAAATGACTGCCATTTGATATAAATAAATATTTAAAACCTAACTTAAGTGAAGGCTTTAACTAAAAGTAGACTTCTTACAATCAAACAATTTTTTTAAAATTTTAACTCGTAATTTTGGAAGACATGTCATGTATGATGTGATTTAAGGGGGTATTCTGGTCTAGAGGCATGAATTTTGGATCATATTTGAAGTGCTGTAAAAAAGCGAGCAATCATTTATTATCGATTTTTTATATATTATTAATTCACCTTAGAAGCATACAAAAAACTAAAAAATAAATAATTTTAATTTTTGTTTTTTCATCAGCTGATAGAGTTGTGAATGACCATACCCACGATTTTAGCTCTCCAAGCAATCTGAACACGCAATGATGTCGCTATGTCCGGAACTACGGAAATGTTTAAGCTATATTTTTTTAAAAAATATCGCCTGTATAAATTAAAAAAACATTTTGTAATATTTTTGGAGCATTCTTCAATTTTTTAAAAAAGTAAAACTTAAAGTCTTTAGTTGGCCGTAGTTACAACCATAGCCAAGTTCCTAAAGAAGACTCTCTTAAACTTTCAAGTAAATCGGTTGTGCAGAATCAGAGAAATCGTGGGTATCAGATTCAAAAACGGTTTTGAGAAAAACGCATTTAAAGTTTCAAGTAAAATTGTTTATATATATATATATATATATATATATATATAAAGATAGATAGATAGATATAACGGAACAA